TTCGTTTGCATGTAGGGCCAGGTTGTGGTCATGGGGCTCCTTGGGGAGGGGAAGCAGCTCTCCAGGCAGAGCAGGTCCGTGTTGTTCCCTTGTACACCACAGCCCAGACACCCTGCTCTTCTGCTGTGGGCTTCGGGTCTCCCATTCGTTTCTCCCGATGCGTGGGCTCCTTTCCTCCCCCTCCCTCCTCCCCCTCCCTCTCCAGCTCGGTGGTTAAGGGCAGGGGACATCTCCCTCTGCCACTGTGAGTCACCTTTCAAGGCTGTGTTTGCACACAAGGTGACAGGCTCCCAGGACGGGCCTTCCCCTAGGTACTGAGTTTGCAAGCACTGAGCCTGGCAAGAAGGTAAGGGCAAGCCACGAAACCGGGGGTGGGTGGTGAGAGAGGCTTGGGGCAGCTCTGCCCTCTCCTGCAGGCGGTGCAGGAGTCCGTATGAGGCTGGCCCAAGTCTCTGGGTTTGAGGAGTTTTGGGATCATCCCTGTTTCTTAGTGGAGCTGAGTAATAGCCCCAAGGGCTTCTCTAGCTGCAAGGGCTAGAGAGACCCTCCTTCCAGGCCAGCCTAGCGAAGGGGGCTCTGACCTATGTCCAGCTGTGGATTCCCACCCTTGTTTATCTAGGGCATGGTGTCCAGCCCTTCTGCTGTCACCCCTGAGCAGGGCTCAGCACTTCTGTCCTGGCTCCTGGGGCAGCCCAGTCCCACGGGTGAACAGCGCTGCACTTGCAAGCCCAGCTTGAGCCCCAGGGGTGTGAATGCACCGGCTCCACACCTGCCCCTGCACCGGAGCTGGCGTCTGCTCCACTGGCACATGCATGGTGGAGGCAGCGCTGAAACGCAGCCATGTCGAGGGTGGAACAGGGCTGTGTTTGAACTCCGCGGTGCTGCCGGCTGGAGAGTAAATCCAGCTGCAGTGTGGAGGGTGGGAGCAGCCAAGCGGTGAATATGTGTGTGTAGGTATGTAGGGGAGTCCAGGAGAACATTTGAGCAGAGAATATAAGACAGAGGGGCTCTGCTTATTGTAGCCTCTATTCGCTTTGCTTTGCTGGCTTGGATGGGCTGTGTTTGCATTGGGGTTTTGTAGCTGAAGGCTCTGGGCCACCTCAGTTGAGAGTCTTCGCTGATGCAAGGATCTAAAGGTCAAGGGCTGCTCCTGGAATAACCAGCTCTCTCCTTTTCAAGGAGTTTACAGTTTAGGAGATGCTCTGAACATGTCTCCTTACTGAAGTCCAGTGCTGCCAGCCTGGTGCAACCCTTGGCTGCACCTTCCCTTTTAAGATACCTCCCAGCCTGTCATGAGTCGCAGGCAGTGAGCCAGAGCTCCAGCTCCTGGTACAGGCAGGGGGAGGACAGGTTAATGGACCCTGTCATTGGGGAGCAATTGGCATTGATCTTCATAGGCTTGCAGTCAGGTGGGAGAGGAGGAGGGAGAGATGGTTGCTGTGTTTTGCAGGATGGATCGTCCCTGTGATCCCATATATACTGGCGTACCTCCTCCAGAGATCACCCAGGGGACAGGGAGCGTCCTTTCTGCTCTGTGGTTGTATGTGTTGAGACTCTTAATCCTACTGTGCTGGAAACAATTGGCTGTGTGGGAGCCCTGGGATGGGGTGTTTTCTCCCCGACCCCCTGCACAAAGAGCTCTGCAGAGCAGTCCTGGGAAGGGCAGGGAGCTGTGTCCCAGAAACTGCCCTTGCCCAAGCATCCCAGCTGCTCTGGGAGGAAGGGCAGCCTCTCCTGTAGCCGGTGTCAGCCTGGTGTTCCTATGGTTTGCACGAGAGCCAGGGGGCTGTGGGTGAGCAGACACCACTTGGCTGCATTATCATCCTTCCAGCAGTGAGCGTGGGGGGTGGGAGGGGATTTGAGACACCGCTGCGGCTGCTGGCAGCATCTCGAGGAAGGGGTATTCATCCTGCTTGGTCCCATCTTGCTTCCAAGACCACTGGCTCCTGCAGTAGCAGGGTTAAGGTGAAGTAAACATGGCTCCGATGGGGATTTTCCACTCTACCATGCCTTGTTATCTCCCAAAGGGGTGAATCTGCTCTCCACCCGTACTGGGGATGCTGCCTCC